AATGTGTCACTATAGGTTTAGCAAATTACATTAGCCTATCACCCCTAAAAACTACACTAACCTTGCTATAAAAAACAAAGTTTTCGTCAAACAGTAACAGCCCTACCCAGAAGGAAATTGACTCTACTCCAAAACATCAAAAAATGAAGAAACCCTAAATGACTATCACTTCTGCACATCGTAAACCTTACTTTTCAATCACTGTTTCAATATTCAGTTGACCCCGTGAGGTGATACGAAAAACGTTACCTACATGCATTTGAGTTCTGCAAAGCCTTGTCTTCAATACAATTTCAACAACATTTTGAAAATTCCTTCAATACCAGACTAAGCTAAGCAGAAGTCGAAATACTTGTTAGGCGTCTCTAAAGCACTAAGTTTCGTTGACAAGCTTCAAACCAACATTTGACTGTGGAATTAAAACAATCTAATGACCAGGTGCCCTAGTAGTATCTGAGGAGACTTTCCCAACAGAGTGACCAGAACTGTACTCATAAAACAAAATCCAATGTTTTAAAACCAATCCCACGCTCCATATATGAACCCATAACAAAAGAAAAAAAAAAAGGTAAAAGAAAAAAGTTGTTTAAGCATATTCTGAAGTAATGACGACTAAACAAAAAAAACGCAATTGGGGTATTATAAAACGTCAACCTAACATCATAATATTCCCCTAAAAAAGTTAACAGTCGTAGAGGAGTGCTAAGATTCCCCGTAGACCGACCACTTTTGCTGGTAAGAGCAACGGATCACCGTAATAACTCTGAGGAAAGTACAATAATCCGATATAAAATTTACAATATTTGTGTAAGCAAAAATTAACATTTCATATCTTCGCTGTTTTCTCAATTGTCTCTGCTTCATATCTGATGAGGTTCCCGAACGAGCATCATCATTTGCTGCTCTAGTAGTTTGCTGTTCATCAAAATACAGGTCATCAAAAATTTGACATATGTCTAGTTCATCATCCATCTTCGGAATTCGAAGAATCCAAAAGGTGACAGAGCCTCTCTGAAATACTATTCAACCATCGTTTTACACTACTCGACACATTCACTTATGCTTATTTATCTCTTCGCATATGCACACAGCTGTATGGAACGAAAAAAACAAGAAAATAAAAAGAATAGATCTACCTCGATGTCATTAAAGTTCTGAAATCCCGATTCCATAGGAACAGGAACCCGATGCGATTGTACTGGAAATTTGCCAGCAAAGGAACTGGTTATTACCGCAGCAAATTCAAATGTGGTGATTAAAAAGTGGATTCCATTGATATTTGAGTTCTAAATAGTATCAGGCTGTTTGGTGGATAGCTAGCATTATATCGCTTTAAACGGTGCTCATAGTATAAATCTATCTAGTTTTAGCAGTAAGAGGTCTTTTCAATATAGGCGTAAATGTCAGCTGTTTAATGAGCCATTTCTCAAAAAAGCACTAATTTTTTTGCAGGATAACAATTTTGCTGATGCCTTATTTTTCACCGTCTGAAGTATTGCCGGGCGTGACCCCGGCTTTCTGCTTCATTCCATTATATTTTTATTAATATTTTTGAGTCAGAAACCCTTGTTTTATGAAAGTGTTTCATTGATCTGATATTTCTTTGTGCTCTTCCATGTTCAGTGAAGCCTATATTTTTATTTGATATGAAATGTTTGAGAATCGGTATGTGCCGTTTTTGATTCGCTATTTGTCGCCAAAATATAAAAAGACATTGTTGGCCAGCTTTAGGCGAAACTTTTACAGTTTTTCGATACCTTTGTGACTTTTCTCTGTTCCCCTAATTGGTCTAACTGTATGAAAGCCGCATTGGAAGTTCTTGCTCGATACAAAAGCAATGATAGCTTTCTGCTTCGTACTGTCACTGATCTAAGTTCTGAAGCGTCTTCTTTCTTCGTCGTTTTAGCGTTTGTTTTCTAATAATGGTC